TAATGCTCTACAGGTTCCACCACACCCACCATCGGCTTCATTAGGCCGTGCTTGTCCCAGACTCTGCTCTCCCACACAGAAGACCAAAGACAAACCTCTGCAGCACTTCCTGGTTCCAAAAAAGAAGTGGCCAGAAAAACAAGCACAAATTCAGACCCACCTGGAGGAATGCTGCCTGTAGTATTGGCCGGGGTTGTGGTAGTGTCTGGAAAGGAAGAGAAAGAGGCAAGTGAGGCCCTGGTGGATGAAGGAGCATGGCCAGGTTTTCTGCCAGTGCTGGGGATGTTGGTGCCACCCTGTCACGTGGGAGACTGTGAGCAACATCTCAGCAGGATGTTTGTCTGTTATAGGAGTAAAGAAACTCAGAATTTTTGAACACATCTCCAAAACATTTTCTTTTCAGTCAGATGTGTTCTAATTTTTTTTGTACCCTGAGATGTTTCCTTCACTGGAAACTTTCAAGGTCGGGTTGAACATATCTCTGGACCTCCTCTGGTTGAAGCTGTCTCTGCTTAATTTTGGACGGTTGAATTAGATGATTTTTAAAGTTCCCTTCCAATCCAAATCAGTCTGTAACTCTGTGGCTCTGTGAGTGTATTATTCTTGGGTTCTTGTTGTACATGGCTGCTTTCGGTGACTTAATTTGCAATACATGTAATAAACAAATTCAGATGAGGTAGGTTTTCCCTAGAGAGCTGCATCTTTTGGGATGCAGGACAAAGCTCTCGAGCAAGGTCTCTGGGAATTAAGAGGTAACTAGTAATGTCATATTCCAGAAAGACTCACAAAATTATCATTTCAGTTAATAAAAGTCTGTCAACAGAGACAACTGAGGGCAAATCTGTCATTTAGCAAACCTAGTTTTCATACGTGCATGTTTGAAATAATGCTTGGTCAGACTAAAGAAAATTAGCTTGGATTTTTGAGTAATATATTAATTTTCAGTGACAATTCTTAGTGTGTATTTGCTAGGAATGGACAGAAAGTGCTAGAAATTCAGTAAACCAAACATTGCACTCTTATTGTCAACCGAATAAAGAAGAACACTCAAAGTTTCTATGTCTGGGTGTGACTAATACAGAACAGTTGTGGAACTTCCTTAAATCTGTCCTTCTAATTTGAAACACCCACAGTACTTTTAGTTGTTAAACACATGTTTATCTGCAACTGTGTTTTTGTTCTGTAAACTTAAATGTGTAGTAAAAAAAAAGTAAACCAAGTACAAAGAAAACTTGCATTTTATATCTAATAAGTAAATGTATTCAAGATTTTCATGTAAAAATAAATCAGGGACATGCTCAGTCATGGTCCATGATCTGAGGCAGCATTTTAGAAGCACTGTATATTTCTCAAGCCTTTTTTATTTTCAGTAGCACACACAAAGTAATTCATAATTCCCACACATTCAAAAAGTGACTTTATACAGTGAGACATGTATCAGAGGTTAATGTAAAAGAAAAACAAACAATAATCACTATATAAATTCCTCCTTCACTTCTAGGTTGGGCCAGGTAATCTATATTGGGCTGCATTGTTAAAATACATATTCTTGTAGTAGGAAATTATTTTGGAAAGACAGAGTGACTTTAATAAGTAATGATTCATGCGTTCTTCAAAATTGATTTGAAACAAACAAAAAATCCCAATGCTCCCTCCAACCCTTCCCAAATTAAGTGAATTTCTTTAAGAAGTGATGTGTAAAGCCATGGGTTTGAGTCACACTGTTATGTTTATATAACGTGGTTTATTCAAATCATCCCTCATCTGAATAGTACTCAGTAATTCATTGTGTATGTGAGTCGGGCTGCCTACAAAAATTTCAAACTCTGGCTTGTTTTTGGTATTGCTCTTTTGGCTTCTCTGTTCTGTGGTTTTATTGCTTCAAATGTCTCTTGTTCTGATTTCTCTGGATTAGTTTTTTTTTTCCCCCTCTGTTTTTATAATTCAAGCATCTTTAACTGTTTTTATGAAAGCAGTGGACAAAATTAGCAACACACACTATACTGCCAATATTCCCAGGGATATAATGGATGGGTTTTTATTATGTATAGCTGCAAAGAACAGTGAACAGACAGGTGTCCAGAACAGAAGAAATTCCTAGCAGGAACATAACATGACGCACACATGTGGGACCTCATGACACTGTACAGGATAGCAACTGTGTCTTTCTATTGCATTTCTATTAAATTATATAAAGCTAATAAGTATTTGGTGATTCCATGTGCATTTGCAAGGTTGGAGTGTTTTAAAGCAAACGTGCATTACAGCCAAAGAAACTATATTCCCTCTTAATCCCATACTGAAAACGACAAATATATAGGAACAAAATCTTTCAGTAGTATTTTCATGGTAGTATTCTTTTAAAATTTTGGTTTAAACTATGCTGCAAGACACTACTGCAAAACAGTAATAATTTCATCACACTAAATTATCTTCAACACAAATAATACTTAATCATGATATCAGTTTACAGTTTTAGTAAGACAACACGATGTTATCTAATTTCAATCTGACTTACTTCAAATCTTTGCAAAACATTGATTAAACTGGCATGTGAGTTCCCTCTATAGAACCAGTGTAGAGAAGTGACACACCCTTTTTCCTACCTTTTCTGGAAGAATGGGGATTAGGCGAGGTGGCACCCAGGAGTGCTGCATTTAATAGGAATAATACCAGCAAGGCCCTGGTGGTACCCATCTTGCCACGACATCCCAGTAAAACTGAGCATTAGAATTTATACCCTACATCTGTAAAAGAATGAGGCTCCAAAGGTCGATCTGGCCCGTCCTATCTCAGATCAGGTAATATTTTTTATCACTACTTGATCTGTACAGAATGATTATACAGGAGTGGTAAAGCTTCTGTTCACTGGATAATTTGTGCTGCTCTGGAAGTAGCACTAGGGGCAAAAATCCAGCCAAAACCAGCATATGCCCTTATTATAAATTATCTTAACTCTATGTGCAGGCTCAGTGTTACCTTTGGAACCAGAATGGTGAATATACATATTTCCTTTCCTCAATTATCACAATGTTATTTTCTTACTGCTAATAGATAATTACTTACTTAAGCAGACTGTAAAACATTGCAGTAAATTCCCAGCAGGCTTTCTTCAGCACATAGTCCTG